AAGCACACTGAGACTCAGAGGAGCTGTGGAGGTGGAGTGCAGAGGTATGGAGGCACACATGGCAAGGGCTGGCGACTGAGGATGTGGCTGACTTTTTGAATCAGGAGGGAGTCACAAGCCCCCGACTGCTCTGAACTTTGGTTCTGGGAAGTCTCTGGGGACCCGGACTCATGCGGGGAGAGACTGGACGGTCTGGCAGCCGGCAGAACTCGGAACTCGAGGGCGGCTTTCTCTCGGAGGTGCTTGCAGCAATTACCAGGACACTGAGACACGGGGCCCCTTAGGGCAGGGCTGAGGATCAGCCATAGCTGCTTGCTCCGCCCTGTTGATTCCAAGACCCTGCCCCACCCAGGCTGCAGCAGAGCTGGGAATCAGCCATAGCTGCTTGCTCCGCCCTGTTGATTCTGAGACCCCGCCCCATCCAGGCTGCTGCAAAGCCTTTTGCATATGAATGCCCGGGTCCTTTACAATCTGACAACTACCTAACAAATTGCAGCTGGGCCAGACAGACCCAGAACTTCCAAGAGAAGGCCCAAGGCCCCACAGCAGCTTGCATTGCTTCTCAGCTGGGCCTCATCTGGGCACCCCCAAACCCCCAAAAAAGGAAGGGGAATCTGCATATCTCTTCATAGCTCCTGCTGGGTAACCTCAGGAAGAGGCTTAATTAGCACCTCCTTAGATCCAAGAGCCAGTGTACCCAGTGGTCAGAGTGGGACCACCCAGATTACAACTCCTCAGATTCATAAGGAACACACTCAGGGGGCAGACTCAGTGAGCACCAAAGCCCCACTGAAGCAAGTCTTGCCCCAGAAGGGTGTCTTCAGCACAGAAGTTCTCCCACTGCAGACACAGCTGATTCTCACTGCCAATTGGCCTGGAGGTCAATTCCTCCCAGTGACACCTAAAACAATCAAGGCATAACTACAACAAGACTGTGCACAAAGCCCACAAGGGGGTGCACCAAGAGTGTCCACCTCAGGTAACTGGGGAGGCTGAGCCACTGGGCCCTGTAGGACACCTAGCACACAAAACCACTCTACCAACACAGGGAAGCAGACAAAATGCGAAGACAAAGAAACAGGTCACAAATGACAGAAATGGAGGACAGCAAACGACTGGATATAGAGTTCAAAACCACGGTTCTAAGATTTTTCAAGAATTTTATGGAAACCGCCGATAAATGTATTGAGATCCTTAAGAAATCTAGTGAGACCCTCGATGTTGTGATAAAGGACCAACTAGAAATTAAGCATACACTGACTGAAATAAAGAATATTATACAGACTCCCAACAGCAGACCAGAGGATCGCAAGAATCAAGTCAAAGATTTGAAATACGAAGAAGCAAAAAACACCCAACCGGAAAAGCAAAATGAAAAAAGAATCCAAAAATACGAAGATAGTGTAAGGAGCCTCTGGGACAACTTCAAGCGTACCAACATCAGAATTATAGGGGTACCAGAAGAAGAGAGAGGGCAAGATATTGAAAACCTATTTGAAGAAATAATGACAGAAAACTTCCCCTACCTGGTGAAAGAAATAGACTTCCAAGTCCAGGAAGCGCAGAGAACCCCAAACAAAAGGAATCCAAAGAGGACCACACCAAGACACATCATAATTAAAATGCCAAGAGCAAAAGACAAAGAGAGAATCTTAAAAGCAGCAAGAGAAAAAAAGTCAGTTACCTATAAGGGAGTACCCATACGACTGTCAGCTGATTTCTCAACAGAAACTTTGCAGGCCAGAAGGGAGTGGCAAGAAATATTCAAAGTGATGAATAGCAAGAACCTACAACCAAGATTACTTTATCCAGCAAAGCTATCATTCAGAATTGAAGGTCAGATAAAGAGCTTCACAGATAAGGAAAAGCTAAAGGAGTTCATCACCACCAAACCAGTATTATATGAAATGCTGAAAGGTATCCTTTAAGAAGAGGAAGAAGAAGAAAAAGGTAAAGATACAAATTATGAACAACAAATACACATCTATCAACAAGTGAATCTAAAAATCAAGTGAATAAATAATCTGATGAACAGAATAAACTGGTGATTATAATAGAATCAGGGGCATAGAAAGGGAGTGGACTGACTATTCTTGGGGGGCCAAAGGGGTGTGGGGGATGTGTGAAGAGACTGGACAATAATCGTGCACCTATGGATGAGGACAGTGGGGGGAGGGGTGGGTCCCGGGTGGAGGTGAGCTATGGGGGGAAAAAGGAGGAACAATTGTAATAATCTGAACAATAAAGACTTAATTTAAAAAAAATAAATAAAGGGAGCAATTCAACAAGAAGATATAACTCTGGTAAACATATATGCACCCAATATAGGAGTACCCCAATATATAAAAAAAACTTTGGGAGGATTTCAAAGGAGAGATTGAAAGCAATACAGTCATAGTAGGGGACTTTAATACACCACTAACACCACTGGATAAATCCTCTGAACAAAAAATCAGCAAAGAAATATCAATCCTAAATGACTAACCAGATCAGATAAAATTAATTGACATCTTCAGAACATTTCACCCCAAAGCCAAAGAATATATATTCTTCTCAAGTGCACATGGTTCATTTTCAAAGATAGACCACATATTGGGATACAGGCAATGTCTTTTTAAATTCAAGAAGATAGAAATCATATCAAGCATCTTCTCAGATCACAATGGCATAAAATTATAAATAACTACAATAAAAACAATGAAAAAATAAAACACCTGGAGGTTAAATAGCATGCTATTGAACAATGATTGGGTTACCAAAGAGATCAAAGGAAAAATAAAAAGCATCATGGCAAAAAATGACAATGAAATCACAAACTCTATAGGACTCGGTGAAAGCAGTCTTGAGAGGGAAGTTGGTAGCTCTACAGGCCTAGCTCAAAAAACAAGAAAAAAAATGGTAATAAATTATCTAACCCTACAACTCAAAGAGTTGGAAAGAGAGCAATAAGAAAAGCTCAGCATAAGCAGAAGGAAGGAAATAATAAAGAAAAGGCAACCAATGTAGAGACCAAAAAAACAATACAAAAGATCAACAAAACCAAGAGCTAGTTCTTTGAAAGAATAAACAAGATTGATGAACCTCTAGCCAGGCTTACCAAGAAGGGAAGAGAGAGGACCCAAATAAACAAAATCAGAAATGAAAGAGGTGAAGTAACAACCGATCCCACAGAAATACAAATTATTATGAAAAATTACTATGAACAACTCTATTCCAATGAAATGGATAACTTAGATTAAATGGACATATTCTTAGAAAAATATAAGCTCCCCCAAAACTCAATCAGGAAGAATAAAAAAGCCTAAATAGGCCATTCACTACCAAATAAATTGAAGCAGTGATCAGAAATCTTCCAGCAAACAAAAGCCCTGGTCCTGATGGCTTTACAGGAGAGTTCTACCAAGCATTCAAAGAAGAACTAAAACCTATCCTCCTCAGACTATCCCAAAAAATTCAAGAAGAAGGCACACCTCCAGCTCTTTCTATGAAGCCAGAATTACCCTAATCCCAAAACCAGATAAAGACACCACAAAAAAAGAGAATTACACACCAATATCCTTGATGAACATAGATGCTAGAATCCTCAACAAAATTCTAGCAAATCAGATGCAGCATTACATTAGAAAGATCATACACCATGACCAACTGGGATTTATTCCTGGAATGCAAGAATTGTACAATATCTACAAATCAATAAATGTGTTACATCACATAAACAAACTGAGAGACAAAAATCACATAATCATATCAATTGATGCAGAAAAAGCATTTGACAAAATCCAACACCATTTCTTGATAAAAACTCTCAGCAAAGTGAGAATAGAGGGACCCTACCTCAACATAATAAAGCCTTATATGACAAAACCTACAGCCAACATTATACTCAATGGTAAAAACTAAATTCATTTCCCCTAGGAACAAGAACAAGACAGGGTTGCCCACTTTCACCACTCTTCTTCGACATAGTACATAGTGATCAGACAAGAAAAAATAAAAGGCATCCAAATTGGAAAAGAAGTAAAACTGTCATTATTCGTTGATGACATGATAGTGTACATAGAAACCCCAAAGACTCTATCAAAAACTGCTAGTCTTAATAAATTGAATTCAGCAATATAGCAGGATACAAAATTAACACCAGAAATTTATGGCTTTAAAAAAAAACATATTTTTATTGATTTCAGATAGGAAGGGAGAGGGAGAGAGATAGAAACATCAATCATGAGAGAGAATCATTGATCGGCTGCCTCCTGCTCGCCTCCTACTGGGGATCCTACCAGGCATGTGCCAATTGAACCTGGGACCCTCCAGTCTGCAGGCCTGCGCTTTATCCACTGAGTCAAACCGTCTAGGGCTCTATGGCTTTTTTATACAACAGCAATGAACTCACAGAAAGAGAAACTAAAAAAACAATCCCGTTTACCATTACACCAAAAAAATTAAGATACCTAGGAATAAACTTAACTACAGACATAAAAGATCTGTACTCAGAAAACTGCAGGACATTGAAAAAAGAGATAGAGGAAGACATAAACAAATGGAAGAACATACCATGTTCATGGATTGGTAGGATCAACATCATTAAAATGTCCATACTAACCAAAGCAATTTTTAGATTCAATGCAATCCCCATTAAAATACCAACAGCATATTTCACAGACTTAGTAAAAACTCGCCAAAAATTCATCTGGAATAAAAAAAAAACACCCAGCATTGCCACAGCAATCCTGAGAAAGAAGAATAAAGTTAGAGAGATCACAATACCAGATATCAAGCTATGTTAGCAAGCCATGGTTCTCAAAACTGCCTGGTACTGGCAGAAGAATAGACATATAGACCAATGGAACAGAACAGAGAACCCAGAAATCGACCCAACCCATTATGCTCAATTAATATTTGGCAAAAGAGGCAAGAGCATACAATGGAGTCAATACAGTCTCTTCAATAAATGGTGCTGGGAAATTTGGTCAGATACATGTAAAAAAATGAAACTAGATCACCAACTTACACCATACACAAAAACAAACTCAAGTGGATAAAGGACTTAAATATAAGACGGAAAACCATAAAAATCTTAGAAGACTTCGTAGGCAGCACAATATCAGACATGTCGTAGCAATATTTTTACCGATATAGCTCCTAGGGCAGTGATGGCGAACCTATGACACGCGTGTCAGAGGTGACATGCGAGCTTATTTTTTTGGTTGATTTTTCTTTGTTAAATGGCATTTAAATATATAAAATAAATATCAAAAATATAAATCTTTGTTTTACTATGGTTTCAAATATCAAAAAATTTCTATATGTGACACAGCACCAGAGTTAAGTTAGTGTTTTTCAAAATGCTTACACGCCGAGCTCAAAAGGTTCGCCATCACTGTCCTAGGGCAATGGAAACTAAGGAGAAAATATACAAATGGGACTACATCAAAATAAAAAGCTCCTGCATAGCAAAAGAAACCATCAACAAAACAACAAGAAAGCCCACTGCATGGGAGAACATATTTGCCAATGCTATTTCAGATAAGGGTTTAATTTCCAAAATTTACAGGGAACTCATACAATTTAGCAAAAAGAAGATAAACGATCCAATCAAAAAATGGGCAAAGGACCTAAATAAGCACTTTTTGAAAGAAGGCATACAGAAGGCCTTTAGACATATGAAAACATGCTCAAAGTCACTAATCATCTAAGAGATGCAAATAAAAACAATGAGATATCATGTCACACTTGTCAGAATGGCTATCATCAAATAGGTTTTCAATTTCTTGTTCTCTCTCTTCTCCTTCTGGCATTATGATGATGTGACTATTGGTACACTTGATATTGTCCCAGAGGCCCCTTACACTATCCTCATTTTTCTGGGTTCTATTTTTCTTTTTGCTCTTCTGTTTGGGTGTTTTTTTGCTTCCTTATATTACAAATTAATGATTTGAGTCTTGGCTTCACCTACTCTGCTGTTGACTTCCTGTAAATTATTCTTTATTTCAGTTAGTGTATCCTTCATCTCTGACCTGTTCTTTTTTTATGCTATGAGGTGCTCACTAAGTTCCTTGAGCATCCTTATGACCAGTGTTTTGAACTCTGCATCTAGTAGATTGCTGGTCTCCATTTTGTTCAGTTCTTTTTCTGGAGTTTTGTTCTGTTCTTTCATTTGGGCCATGTTTCTTTGTTTCCTCAATTTGACTCCTTCCCTGTGTTTGTTTCTATGTATTAGGTAAAGCTGTTATGTCTCCTAGGCTTGGTAGGTGTCCTGTAGGGCCTACTGGCAGCCTCCCTGATCATCCCAGGTGGGCACCCGAGGTGCATCCCCTGTGTAGGCTGTACATCCTTCTGTTGTAAATGAGTCTTGATTTCTGTAGGCATGTCAATGGGAGGGATTTACCCAGGCTTATCAGCTACCAGGCCCGGCTGTGACAACTGGCCACCTACTTCTGACTACCTTGGAGGATCAGTTATGCAGGGGCCCACCACACAGAGCAGAACTTACTTCATTGGGGCTTTGGTATCCTCTAAGTCCATCACTTCTGTGTATCACTTGTGGAGTTGGTTGAGTGGTGGTGCTTTGATGTGGTCTGAAACTGTCCATTGGGTGCACTGATGCTGCCACCTCCGGGGAGGTGCAGGCCAAGGTCATCCATTGCCTGTGTTCTGCCCGGGGCCATTCGACATAAGCTGCAAAGTAATCTTCAGGTGGCTGCTTCTTGTCCTGGGCTTGGAGTTTCCCAGGTGAGGCCAAGCTGTGAACAAACACCAGCTTCTGCTAGTGGTGGGCCTGGGGCCACTTAGTAAGAGATATGGGGTTTGCTGAGGCCAGATACTGCTTTTCTTGAGATATTTTAGAAAAATCTGAAGCATGAGCCAAGACAGGCTATTCCAGGTAAAGGCTCTGGAAATAGCTCAGGTGGGCCCTGAAGTTGGGTGGGACAGGGCCTCAGGGAATCACCAGGGTGGAGCAAACAGTTGGAGCCAGGTGATGGAGTCTCAGATTTGGTGCCTGTCTGCTGGCTCTGTGAGGAAGAGCTCATCAAAGGAACAATGGCTTCTGCCAGCACTTCTATCTTAAAGAAAGTTACCCCTCCAGCTCTCTCCCTGATGCCAAACAATTCAGTTCCTCCCCATATGTCTCCAGTGCCTTTCAAGCTGATGCTCCTGTACTAAAGCTCAGAGGGAATGAGTCCCGAGTAAGACCATGTATAGGCCCTTTAAGAGGAACTGCCTGGGATTCCAGCAGCCTCAGCCTCCCTCAGCCACAGTCACCACTGGTTTTTATAGCCAAAAGTTATGGGGACTTCTCTTCCTGACATTGGAAACCTGGGATGGGGACCTGGTGTAGATCAAAGACTCCTCACTCCTCAGGGGGACCTCCACAGTTGAGATATCCTTTCTGATTTTTTCTGCCACACGTGGGTCTGGGACCAGCCCTTCCCCATCTCTTCCCCTTCTGCCAATCTAGATATGGATTCTTCCTTATATCTTTAGTTGTAGGACTTCTGTTCAGCTCAATATCAGGTTCTGAATGATGGTTGTTCTCTAGTTTAGTTGTAATTTTGATGTGGTTGTTTTTGAAGGTGAGTACCACATTTACCTACACCGCCATCTTGGCCAGAAGTCCAGTTTCCTCATTCTTGCAAAGAAAATCCATGGTTCCTGGTTTGGCCAATGAGCTCCTTTTACTTTGAAACTTGACCTTATCTGTTGTCAGTGGAGCCTCAGCCTCCAAGGTCCTCATTGCTCTTGTAGGACCCTGGCCCTAGAGACATGGACAATTGGGACTTGGGTTTGCTCTCTTGCCCTGGCCTCAGTAGGAGCCAGGGATTCTCTTTCATCTTAGAGCTGTGTGTAGTTCTATAACTGTGGTAGTACCAGGAGCTAATCACTGATATTGACTTCTCTGAATCGGGCTCTGTTCAAAGGCCTCACATTTATCCATTTGTTCAGTCCTTATGACAGCTGCTGTTATCCCATTTTACAGATAAGTAAACTGAAGCACAAAGAGACAAAGTCATTGCCGATGCTGCTTTGCTGAACTTGGACACTTTTTCTTGTTCCAGAGTTCCTGCACCCACCTGGGATGCTGATTGCCCTTCACTCATCACACTCTATTGAACTCATGCCATTGTCAGACTATGGTCCTGGGGCCACTGCAAGAGCCAGGAAAGCAGGTCTGCATGCTTCTTTCTCCTCTAGCTCCTTCAGGATAAGGCAAGGTGGTTTCCAGCTTTGTTTTTGTGCCTGGTACACATCGGGTGTTCCATAAATGTTAGTCAAACAAGTGAGTCAATGAGTCTGAAAGTAGAATTTGTGCCTATCCAAAGAAAATGAAATTAGAATTTTGGAAAGATATCTGCGCTCCCATGTTCACTGCATCTTATTCACAATAGCCAAGACATAGGAGCAACCATTAAAGAATAAAATCCTGCCATTTGTGACAACATTTATGGAAAATGAAATAAGTCAGTAAGAGAAATAACATGTAACTTCACCTATATGTGCAATCTAAAACAGTTGAACTCATAGGTACAGTTTCTGTTATACAAGATGACTAAGTTGTAGAGGTCTACTGCACAGTACAGTGCCTAAATATAATAATACTGTATTGTGTACTCACTATTTGTTGAAAGGGTAGACCTTATGTTCAGTGCCCTACACACATACACATATCATCATTATGTGGAAGGAAACTTTGGGAGGTAAAAATGTGTTTTTGGCATTGATGGTGATGGTGTCACAGTGTATATTTACCTTAATAAGGTGCTTAAAAATAACAGGCAATGGAGAAAAACTGCACTGTCTGCTGCTGCTTCCACAGTCTTAGAGAGCACTGGTTCTGTGGGTCACACTCTCCCTCTTGATCCCCTACTCACCAGCCCGGTGGGATCCCATCCCACTCCTCTTTGTCCTCACAACACACATCACTGCTTCTCCCTTCACCCCCACACCACCCTGGTGGCTACGTAGAGAGGCCAGACCCTGTGATGTGACTAACCGTTAGTCTCTGCCTTTGCCTGTGATGCAATCTTGTTCACTCCACACTGAGACCACATCCTTCCTGCTCCTGCTGGGCTGGGACAACTATAAATTTATCAGGTTTCCTCTTGGTCTGTTCCTGAGGTCGACATCTTTGTGAGTCCAGCTTTTGGGTGAGTCCAGCTTCATGGAACAGGGTGGCCAAATGGGCCTGGGGAGGAATGGGAAGAGTTTTTAGGACCAGAACTTGACTAGGGATTTCTTCTGCCAGCCTCCTGTGTATCTTTCAGCAAAGCTTATGAAATGTTCTTTTATATTTATCATTATGTGGGCTCTATATGTGTGTGTGTGTGTGTGTGTGTGTGTGTGTGTGTGTGTGTGTGTAGGGACAGGAGCAGCATCACAGCTTATCCCAGGGCTCCCATTGATTTGCCAAGGTCATGGCAAGTGCATGAGGGTTAGGATTAGGGGAGCATGGAGGAGAGTTGGAGTCCTGATGTGGATGGAAAGGTTGGTGGGGTCAGTAATTTTCAATCTTTCTCATCTCATGGCCCACATACTAGTAAACTGGTTACTAAAATTCTGCAGCACACCAAAAAATATATTTTTTGCCAATCTGACAAAAAGTGGATATAGTTTTGATTCATTCACACCAGATGGCTATTGTGTTGGCTGCTGTCATTATTTTTTGTTGTTGTTAATTCTCACCTGAGAATGTTTTCTCCATTGCTCTTCAGAGAGAGTAGAAGAAGGAAGGGAAGGAGAAAGAGAGAGAGAGAGAGAGAGAGAGAGAGAGAGAGAGAAACATCTATGTGAGAGAGACACATCGACTGGATGCCTTCTACACACGTTCTGACTGGGGGCAGGAAGTGAAACCACAACCAAGGTATGTGCCCTTGACCAGGAATCAAACCCGTGGCCCTTGGGTGCACAGGCTGACCTTCTAACCCCTTAGAAGTACAGGCCAGGGGCATAGGTCCTGTTGTCATTTTTTAATTTGACAATCTAAGGCAGAGATGGGGGATGTTCAGCCCTCAGGCCATATAAGGCATGAGAAATCATTTGGTCTGGTCCTAGTAGAGGTGAGTTAATTAAATGTTTGACCAAATATAGCAGGCTAATTTTTAAGTTGATAATTTTGTATGGCCCAGGAATGATGTTATAAATATCCAAATGGCCCTTGGCAGGAAAAAGTTTCCCCACCCCTGATCTAAGGGAAAAGAGGTCAGGTATTGCATGTTTTAAAAATACTTGTGGTTCACCTGTTGGAAATCGCTGGGTGGGGTAGATAGGGAGGTCTGCATAGCTGATGGATCTGAAGATACCTCCCACCCCCTCCCACAAATGCATAGGGGATGGACTTGGGTGGATTGTGAGGCCAGAAGTGGAGAGGCAAGGATGGAACTAGAAGAAGAGTGATGAGCATGTTTGAGGTCGAACATCAAACTATGGTCATCATGAATCATGATTTGGACACTCACTCTGTGATTATCATTTATGGCTTTGCCTGATTTGCTTTTCTCGACTCAGTTATATGAAGGGGA